TCATTCAACCTGATTTTTTTGTGTGAAATCTACGTCTTTTAGTCTCAAAACTACGTGTTGTGGCATTTCTTTTATGTATTGCGTTATTACGTTTTGTGAAAAATCTGTACGTGTTAGAGAAAAATGAATATCATTTTTGGATTCAGCGTACAGGAATTACTGTAGAACATGTAAAAATTTCAAGACAATAAAACCATCGTAGGCCCGTGTAATTGGTAACAAGACGGATCCACACAACAGTGTATGTTTTCATCAGGTCAGTTTTGACATGTTGAAAATATACACTGTTGCGTGAATATAAATGTCTTCTACAATTTATTAACATATTTTATTAAACAGGTTGTCTATAAATAATTTATTTCTATGACTACAAGTGCTTCCAAATTACAATGCTGTTCTCAGTATATTTCAATTCTGAAACTGTTTGTTTGTATTTAAACATGTCTCTATTATTTTTGAGTCTTGCTCATCTGGTCACAATAGCAAAAATTTGTTTTGGAAGGAGAATTACTCGCTGTCTATCAGATTTAATCTCTCGTGTACTAATAACTTTGAATTAAAATTAGGAACCGATGTTGATGCTCTAGCGGCCTAGCCCATACACAGCATCCCCATCGAAAATCTAAACTAATTCTGGGAAAGGTAGTAGCTGTTAGTGAAACAAGTAAAAACCAAAGAGTATTAATGACATTGGTCTCTAATATGTATGAAAAGAGGCGAAATTTTACAGCACTACGCAACAAAACTAGGTATGAACCATATAATTCTAAAATATGTGAAAAGCTGTTTAAATGTATACGATATTAGTTAACGATACTCAGTAATGCGCATGCCTGAGTGTAGAAATTTTCGGAAATCAAAATAAACATATCAAAGGCGAAAATAAAAACTAAAATGGGTATTGAGAATTTGAAATAATATACACATTCCTAACAGTGTCGTGCAAAACTATCAAACGTGCGATCTTGCGTATTCAATAAAATAGCAGCATAATATTGATTTTATTTTAAAGTTTTAATTACGTTAATATAGACCGTTCATAATCACGGGACTTGAATACCGACTTAAAGGATAAATTTTACTTAACCATACCAATTTAACTTGTTTTGTTTCTTTATTAAAAGCATCAACCTTCCCATCACTAACTTGGTAATTACAAACAATGTATTGTAATTTTGGAATAGGTCCCTGTAGACTAAAGCACCACCTTGTGAACCTTGCTAATAAATTAATCTTCCTTAAGTAAACGTTATGAATTTTACAAATATTAATACAAACACCAAATGCGTTTTTGTAAATTTAATTAACCAATTTAAGCCTTTCATGGTGAGATTATCTTTTTCTCGTTGGCTTATTAGTGGATATACATGTTTGTAAAGCCCTGGAAGTATCCAGTTGTTGGTGTTTAGGAGATACCAATAAGTTAAAAACCATAATTTCGAAGGCTCTAGCACAGAGACCAAAGCGATGTCCATTACACCATTTAGGAACAGAAACAATCTACAAAAGTGTCAAATAAAGTTTAAAAAATGCATAAACAAACATGTCGAATATTTTTTTTTTTTGTCGATTGTTTGGTGAGAAAGTTGAAATGTGTAAATGTAATTTTGTAGTTGCAGCTGACGGAGGAGAAGGAGAGGCTGGATGGATAGAAGGAGCCGCTATACTGGTGTCTGTTATTATTGTAGTACTTGTGACAGCCTTCAATGATTACACGAAAGAAAAACAATTCCGAGGATTGCAGAATAGAATAGAACACGAACATAAATTTTCCGTGATTAGAGGAGGGGAAATCAACCAAATACCTGTAAGCGAAATAGTTGTCGGCGATGTTTGCCAAGTTAAATACGGTAAGCTCGTTTCCTACTTTTCGTTCATCATTATTTATTATTCACTTGCACGAGAAATTGTAGGACACATAAATTTACCTTAGCGATGTCTTTATGAAGGGGTGTCTTGTGGCCATATTACAGTGTCTGTGGGTAGTGTAGTAAGTACGAAGTTTGACATTTACTCAAGGTGTTGCGATTACTATTTTTTAAAAATATACGAGCTTTGTAAATAACTGTAATATAACGGTAAGTACCGTTGGAATAATTGTTACATACAGTTAATAAAATAAAACAATATGATCGTAAAATTAAGTGCTGAATAGTAACATACATTCTGACTAACGTTTCCTCAAGGAACGTAAAATCGAAAACAGTGCAGTTATCTGTTTTGTTTCATTCACAATATTAAAATTATAAATACTGATATTTTTGAAAAACGGAAGAGAGAAATATATCTACTTACAAGTACAAATAAAGTTGGTATTTGAACTTGAAACTTTAAAATGGGCAAACAACTTATAAGCAAACTTTAGGCTTCATCCATGTCTCGCCTGTCTTCCCAACTACACAAGTTAAAACAAAAACATATTCGCGCAGACGAAGTAATGATAAAGACGTTAACAAACACAAGTGATGCTCGTTCTCAAAAGCATAGCAGTTTTAAAAAAAGTGGGGCCGCTGGATGATTGACGCGCCGAAGATGTAAAGTATTGTTAGTCGTGGGGAGTAAAGCGCTGACGCAGAATCCTGTAATATGATGTATTCTAAAAGTGTTTTTGTCGCAAATTTTGAGGCATATTTTATGACTTTGCTTTAGACTTTTGTAAAAATCGACCTCGGAACAAACGATTTTTATTGAAGAATCTTACAACCGTCTATTTAAATTGTACAGATTGCTCATATGGAAAAAGATCTCCGACGAATAAGCTTATTTTAAATATTATTTTGCAAAATTTTATTTAAAGATCTACAAGTTTGTACACATTGCTAAGGAAAATAACGATTATATTATTTCTGAAAATGCGAAACAGTTTCCAAAGGAATTAATACTGATAAAAATTCAAACTTTATTGGATGCAGAATTTAAAGTATAAAGGTGTGCGTCAATGCTCTTCAGATCGGAATCGCTGTGTTCCAATTCGTATGACACGTTGTTGATATGTCATTACAACAATATTTTCTTTTTATCTTTGAACGTAATGTAAATTTTAATAAAATATACTTGTATCAAAATTTCCATTTTTATTTTTATTTTATTTTGCCCGATTGCTCAGGATATTTTAGCAATTTTGCCAAACGAATAAATATTGGTGCGGTTGATTTAAAAAGTAATGCGGTTTATACGCAAAAGTTCGAAAAAGTGGTCTTTAAAACGCACCAACTGCATGTAGTTATATAGCCGCTAGTTTTTTGTGTGTTTTTTTTAAACTGTACGTCATCTACACAAAAGAAAAGGCAAGAGGAAAAAGCATATCTTCATAGTTTATTAGCTCACTGAATTACTTGAGTGTTGTGGATTTGTCGTAAAAATAAAATTATTTGCGACATCTCTTCTCCAAATTCCAATCCGGAAATATCGTTCGAAACAAGCGAGCCTTTTTGTTTGCTTTTATCTTCGGTAAGATTGCTTTCTTTTATTATCATAAATTATATATAACAACTTTTTCTTTTTCAATTTTTTCTTACTAGATAATGTCTAGAGATGAAGACGTATTGGTAAAATTCACGCGAACTTGGACAAGCGACTACTAGTAGCAGTATAAAAAGTAGTAGAACTGCTCAAAATACTGAGCCCGTTCTTTTTAAACGTAGACTATCTTCACTTAACGCTTGATATTAGTTTACTCATTCTAATACGTGTATGCCTAAAAGATATTTTAATGTGTTCAAATGTGCTCGATAAAGAACTTAATAATTTTCTTTTAAGAGTTTGATTTGTCTCTTTATTATTCAACTTTTTGGTGTTACTTTAATTAAGCAATCACTGACCATGCATTATGGGAATACTATTCTTGGTATATACACTATAGTAGTACATTAATAAGTTATGGTACATACCAGATGTCCCCATCATACTTAAAGTTTATGAGGGAGTACTCTTCAGATCTCAACGTGTGCCCCCTTTAATGTTTATTAATAAGTAGATTTTCAGTTTCACTTGTGATGATCAGAATACATATAAATGTCATGTAAGCTATTAATCAAAACTATAGCCATGGCATAACTAAAGAAATAAAAATTTAACTTCTTCCCCCCACCTCCACCTCTGAAAAAAAAAAGCTACAGGAGTCAGTTGTTCCTCATTAATTCCCCTCTGTGGGTATCAATTATTACAACCCAGTGTTTAGCACACAGGAACTTATGTAACCTTCATGAAATTAGTGAGAATTTATTGCACTTTTGAAGTCTTGCATCTTTAGAATTTGGTAAGATTATGTTTGCAATAAGAAAAAAAATATATACACTGCAAATGCTTTTTTTTTGTACATTCTCTTAGTTAGTTTATTACTGATTTCAAAACAGAAGCATTAAGTGCTAACATAGCATTTTAAGTTCATGTTTTGTCCAACACATGATATATAATTTAAAATGCTACTTTTATATGCCTCTTATATAGAATATGCAGTCTATTAAGACTTTTCACAGATATTAAGCCTTCTGGTTTTGTTGTCTCAGTAATTTGGCATTTAAAACTTAACATTTATAAATTTAGCTTCTCTGAATGTTTAGAAATAGTAAGAATTTATTAAATGAAATATGTTTTTTTTATATCTGTAATTTTCATAAACTACTTATTTTGAACATTTAACTTTCCTACTTAATTTTGTATATATATGTGTGTGTGTGTGTATATATATATATATATATATATA